CATCTTATTGAAGTGGTTATAGTGCTTGGATTATCCTGGCGCTGTCACTCCTTTTAGTGTTTAACCATTTTTGAAAGATTTTAACACTGAATGAGCATCCCTCAAGCCTTCAGCCTGGTACCTACTCGAGGTGTGGCTGAGGTGGAGATTACACTAATTTTTACCCATACCAATTCATGCCAGCAATGGGTGGCTGTGATAGGCTAGTAGTCAGAGAGTAGTGAGCTGATGCTTTCCTATGGGAGAAGCCCTAATGCGAGCATGGCAAGCGCTGAACATGTGCATTAGGTCTCCCCCACCGGTTGTCGCCAGCAGGGGGGGGAAACAGAGGAGAAGCACAAGCCAGCGCCGAGGGACATCAGTGCTGGACTCAGGTAAGTGACAGAAGGGGTTTTTAACCTCATCTGCGCCCACGGGGCACCAGATAGAGGGGCACCAGAGGGAGATATAGTGCAAGAAAAACAACTTGTTCTCCTGGCATTATAGTTTTCCTTTAAGTGGAGAAATCCAGACTTCTTCTTTACACAGCACCTCAGTGCATATGTCTAGCTCGCTGCTGATCTTTGTTATCACATAATAGCACAGGATTTGCAAAAGGCCAAGCTAATAACCACAACTGACAGGGACTAGATTGAGGTTCCCAGGTGCAGGACAAAGAGGTGCAATTTTCTATATTTTATTTTATTTTTACACTTCACACAAATACATAGTATTTAAATATTGGGGATTGTCAAACATAAGCTTGAGCATAAATCTCCCCCTTTGTTTCCATTTTTCCTTCTCATTTGCAATGTGTGCCATGGCTGTGGTTGGTCTAAACTGGATTATGATGTCACTAGCTAATCTTTTAATCTTAAGAGAAAATGGTTCATGAAATGAAGAAAAAAAAAGGTTAACACAATTTATAACAAATAAACAGGAAAAAAAAGAATCTGCACTGATATAGTATACTGACAATATCATTGCTGTGACATGTTTTACTGTTTTGAAACACTTATATTTGTGTTCAGCTAAGTCCCCCGAGTAAAACAGTACCCCCCCCTGACCCCCCATGTACAAGTTTTAGGGTGTCATGGAAAGTTACAGGGTTAAATACAGTGCTAGCAAATTAAATTCTCTGGACTTTTGGCCTGGGTTGGCAGGGCCCTCAAATTGCAATCAATAAAATTACTTAATTATGTAGAAATATTACATAAATATGTATGTATAATTTAAATATATATATACATATTTATATGTTTGAAGTGTACGTGTATATTTATGAAATATTTATGTAATTATGTATATGGATATATATATATAACGTATTATTTGTATTTATTTATTTATATATACATAGATATATATAATTTCATTATATATATTTTTATATCAATAAAATTAATTATAATAATTAGTATGACATTATATATATATATATAAGATATGTATACATATTATATATAGATATAATATATGTATATATATATCTCATATATATATAAATATAAATATATTTTGTTTATTTATTAACATTTTATTTTTTATGTTTCAGAAGCAGGGAGACTGCCTGTCAGTTCAGGCAGTACCCCTGCAGACAGAACCATGGGCAGCTATTGCGGCCATGTGAACACTCTTTCAGAGCAATCACATGACCCGCAGGGGGCCTGGTTTGCCGAGGGGGGGGACTGTCTGGGCTGTTAGGCAGTCCCCCAAGACTGGGAGCAACACCAATCACCAGCGGGGGAATGGCGGGGATCGGGTAAGTTATAAGGAATGCCGCGGACGTGCCTAGTACCGTAAAGGATCACTGTAGGGTCAGGAACACAAACATGTATTCCAGACCCTATAGTGTCAAAACCACCATCTAGCCCCCCTAGACCCGTCATGCCTCCATAAATATAGCAAAATCTTACTCTATTCAAGCCAGAAGCTGTAGCTCTGCATGCTGTTTGCCTCAAAAAAAAAAAGCAGTCTGCTGACATCATCAGAAGTGGTAGCCTGATCCAATCACAATGCTTCCCCATAAGATTGGCTGAGACTGACAAAGAGGGAGATCAGGGGCAGAGCCAGCATGATTCAAACACAGCCCTGGCCAATCAGCATCTCCTCATAGAGATGAATTGAATCAATGAATCTCTATGAGGAAAGTTTAGTGTCTGCATGTAGAGGGAGGAGATACTGAATGTTTGGATGCATTTTAGGCAGCCATGACCCAGGAAGGATCTCTAACAGCTGTCTGAGGAGTGGCCAGTGAAGTTATCACTAGGCTGTAATGTAAACGCTGCATTTTCTCTGAAAAGACAGTGTTTACAGCAAAAAGCCTGAAGGTAATGATTCTACTCACCAGAACAAACTCAATAAGCTGTAGTCGTTCTGGTGACTATAGTGTCCCTTTAAGGACTGTTTTTTGTCGGATGTACCTAGTACGTCCATGGTCCTCAAGGAGTTAAGAAATAACTTTTTTTTCATAACCAGATCAAAAAGGAATGCCATTAGCGAAAATCTCTTCCCCTGTAAAGATCACTAGAGAATCACTATTGTTGATTCTATGAAGGTATATGGAAATAGATCTCAAAGGTCATCTTTAAACCCACGATCCTTTGTAGACACGGGACCATTTTTCCATGTTTGTTATTTAAGGAAGCTTTGGAAATAATTTGGAATATTTGTGTTCGATAATCCATTCATACACAAACTGTCTGCAGTATGGTTTGTGTGGCAAGAGACTGTGTGTGCTTTTTAGAGTGTCGGTGTGAAAGTGTTTGTTTCAACTCATTAAGCATGCTTCTATGTTCAACAAATTCCTGTAACCTAAGCTTTCCAAATTGAAATAATTTGCATTTTATTTCATCAGAATAAAATAAACTGTCCCCTTCCCATCTATGCTAACGCAGCATGGTTTATGTCTCATTTGGCAATCCCTGCATCTATACTTAGAAGATCTTTGATGTACTCATAGCAAAGGGTTAGTTTTGTAGAATGCAAATTGTTACAGTTTGTTCATGTGAATTCATGTGAACACATAGTGGAAAAGGGTTGTGCAGGTGCAGTCTTCAATTCTTAAGAAAACAGGAAATTAACACGTGAAAAAGTTACTAATTTGAAGAATTGTCAGCCTATTTCTTTACAATCACACTACCAGATGAACGTTTAAAAGAGGGTGGAGGTGCCAACTGCATGTACATTACTTGCAATTGCTTTACACAGCAGAAACATGTATCTAACTGATCATCTTATTCACTAGTGTGGGAGAAAACAAACGCAAGACATAAAATGACAGATCAATAAAACTTAAAGAGCTTAAAGGATCACTATAGGGTCAGGAACACAAACACGTATTCCTGACCCTATAGTGTCAAAACCACCAACTAACCCCCTGGGCCCTTCATGCCTCCATAAATGTAGCAAAATCTTACTGTATTCAAGCGTGAAGCTGTAACTCTGCATGCTGTTTGCCTAAAAAAAAAACAAGCAGTCTGCTGACATTATCAGATGTGGTGGCCTGATCCAATCACAATGCTTCCCCATAGGATTGGCTGAGACTGACAAGCAGGCAGATCAGAGGCAGAGCCAACATGATTCAAACACAGCCCTGGCCAATCAGCATCTCTTCATAGAGATGAATTGAATCAATGAATCTCTATGAGGAAAGTTCAATGTCTGCATGCAGAGGGAGGAGACATAAATGTTTTGATGCATTTTAGGCAGCCATGACCCAGGAAAGATCTCTAACAGCCATCTAAGGAGTGGCCAGTGAATTTATCACTAGACTGTAATGTAAACACTGCATTTTCTCTGAAAAGACAGTGTTTACAGCAAAAAGCCTGAAGGAAATGATTCTACTCACCAGAACAAATTCAATAAGCTGTAGTTTTTCTGGTGACTATAGTGTCCCTTTAAATATATATATATATATATATACATATATATATATATTGAAAGATCCAGAGTAGTAGATATTAAGACAATATAAAATATTTCAGTGTAAGAGGCAATCTAAAGGATAATACACAATTGAAAACAGCAACACTTTATAATTTAATAATTTGAAATAAAAACAAGTAGCATGCTAACTTGTCCAATTGTTTCACGGGGCAAGTTTAAATCTTTAATAGGAAGTCTCTAATCCCTGTAAGCACCATGACAGTTAATGCATAGTAAATATATATGTGAAAATTGCTGGCACTCCAGGTATTGAAAAAAATAAAACTTGTCATTTATTGAAGTGTATTTAAAATTTTTTTTATAGAAAAACAACTTTTAGGAACACGGGATGCTGAAAAAAATTGCAAGCATGGTCCAACAAAATATTACATAACGAAACACGTGACTTGTAATGTTACAAGTTTGTCGGGCATTGCTTGTCATTTTTTTTTAGCAGGCTATAAACAGTGTTATCGTCTTAAACGAGGCATTTTCTATTTATGCTTCATTTACTGAAAACCTCTATACATCTTCAGTCCCACCAATCATGTTCTGGTAGTGAATGCAGGTACAGTGTTGAATTAAGATCCACAGCTTTATTCAGTTTTCAGCAGAGCAGTCACCCTGTCTACTTTAATTGTCAAGAACAGCTACAAGTAAGGACTCAGAGTTAGCACAAAAATGTTTTTAAAAACAAACAAAAAAATCCACACCCCAAAACTAAGCAGTATTTGAATTATTTAAATATAAAGATCAATTCCTTATGCTAATCCAAAAAAAAAAAATCCATAAGGGATTTATGAAGTTTTGCATATGGAAGTCCAGGGAAGACCACATATAAATATTCAAGGTCGGGAGGTGAAGTAATAAAGTCAGTGAGAAAAAATGTTGATCATTGATTATCCTGCAAACAAGTTATTTGATTAACAGACCTATCATGTTTTAAATCTTTGAGGTATGACAAGCATCACACATATCTGAGGCAAATGCAAGAACCAGAAAAATACAGTAATTGGAATGCTATTAGATTTAAATTATTGTTATATGTTCACAAAAATGATTCTTAAGAGTACAGTTCTGTAACAAATGTTTAATTTCCTTTCTGTTTCAGATCTACTGAATATTCACACAGCATAATAAAACAAAGATTCCTACAATCAGATGCATTATGGATGTATGGAGCTTACCTAATGACTCAAAACCAGATAATGACACATTGGCAATGCTTGAAAACCGTTCCGTCACAACGATTTTGCCTGTGGTTTATTCATTTGTGACTTTAATCAGTATACCTGGAAATCTCGTGTCTCTTTGGATTTTAGTATTTCATTCCAAACCTATTACATCGTCGATAGTCCTAATGATCAATTTGAGTGTTGCAGACTTAGTCCTTGCAATATTTCTTCCATTCCAGATCATTTATCATATCAACAACAATAACTGGATCTTTGGAAAGGGTCTTTGTAATGTCGTATCTGTGCTATTTTACGCAAATATGTATTGTTCAATATTAACGATCATGTCAATTAGTATTGAACGCTATTTGGGCATTGTTTACCCTATGAAATCAAGTACATGGAGAAGAAAAAGGTATGCTGTTGCTGCCATCATATTTATTTGGATATCTACACTATTATCATTATATCCAATGGAATCAACAGACCTAACCTACAAAGTGAGTCATTTAAACATAACCACTTGTTTTGATGTACTCAAATGGAACATGTTACCAAATCTCATTACTTGGGCAGTATTCATTCTGGGACTGTTTTTCTTCTTGTTTTTGATACCTTCGGTAGTGACTGTGTTTTGCTACATTCGTATTATCTGGACACTCGTTCGGACTTCAAATAGAAATGGAACGGGAAAAGAAAGAAGGCCAATAAGCCTTGCTCTGATTGTTCTTTTTGTATTTGTAACTTGTTTTGCTCCAAACAATTTTATCCTGATGATACACACAATTTATCGACTTTTCTACAACAAAAGTTACTATCATGCCTATAAACTTACACTCACAATGAGCTGTCTGAGCAGCTGCCTTGACCCTTTTCTATATTATTTTGCATCCAAGGATTTTCGCAAGAAAGTGCTGGAGGTATGGAGTAAAACATTCAGTCGGGACAAAATATTTGAAGGGAGACGAGGCAGTTTGTTCTCGGGCACGTTTTCAAGTGGACACGCAGAAATCATAGAAAATGGAAATGGCTGCAAATATAAGTTGCAGGAAAGTGATTTGTAGGCTTGCAATAAAAACATGACTTAATGAGCTAAAGGATTAAAAGAATGACCGGGTACCAACTTCCAAAAGCCCGTTTATTAAGTGTTAAAACAGGAGACCCAATATATCCTGTGATTAGAGATGCATGGCATTCAAATGCATTTCTATGAAGAATTGTTTTGTTTATATTTAACTTTCAACAAAAGAAAAGGGATTTGTAGTTTTGTAAATAGTGAAAAACATGACGTGATAGGACATGAGTTACATTATTTCATCGTATATTAGAGAAGATATTCTCAATACTGCACTCTTTTTTTTCACTGGAAAAAAATGCTTTACTGAACTCCACCGAGCACTAGAGTAAATAATCTACTGCATTTCTTTTTGCTAACCAAAGACACTATACTGTATATATAGACACAGTAATGTAAAATAAATTCTGTCTAGTTGCAAAACTGGATCAATAAGAGCATTAAATGTCTCAATGCAAGCAATCTTTTGGAATCCCTTATGATGTATTATTGCATGTTTTTTTTCCCATCTGTTTTGTCATCTGTGAAAACTGAAAAATTCATTAAAAAGTAAATTGTGGTGAATTGAACCTGATTTGCAAAACTCAGGCATAAATAGCAAAGCTCTCTCTATATGTGAGGTGATAATTTTATACAACTCAGTATTTTAGCCTGAATTTAGAAATGTATTTTTTAGTTTACTAGAATATACAGTTTAGAGAAAAACAATAGAGAAGGCAACTCGTGAATAAAGTTTCCAATTCGAATCCCTTCAAATTTAAAAAAAGATATGAATAACCCCCCACAACCCCTACATTTCACTTAATATTGAAAAATGGCACGTGTTCAACGAACACTCTTTCTAAGCTAAGCCTGGAGGTGCAGGTCTTTGCTCATTGGCTGAGAGTGATCAGTTGATTATATTATGCAATGAGCCAGTCCTGCACTGCTTCCAGTTTCCTGACTGCACAGAGGAAGCAAGAAGTGACTTACAATGATAAGGAGGGCTGGATAGTGATGCAGGGCTCTCCAGGATGCCTAGCATTTACTTTAGTTGTGGTTATGGTGTTGGTTTCATTTAAAAGGTTTAAATACTTACTCTGGGAATGAATCATGGACTCCTGGTACAGTGGCGGATCCAGAGCCTGATCTCGGGAGGGGCACTTGTAGATTATTTAAAGAAATAATCCAGACACAATAACCACTACAGCTCAGTGTAGTGGTTATGGTGTCAATAGTGCCGGGAACCTCTCCCAGAGTAAGTAGTCAAACTGTTTAAGAACAGTTTGACAACTTACCTGAGGTCTGCTGGGAAATGGGGCTGTAGTATGGCATAGGAGCAGTGGTGTGTGTGAGTGGTGCAATGTGTAAGGGGTGCAGTGTGTGTGTGAGGGGGACAGTGTGTGAGCAGTGTGTGTGTGTGTGAAGGTTGCAGTGTGTGAGTGAGGGCAGCAGTATATGTCAGGGGTGCAGTGTGTGTGTTAGGGGGGCAGTGTATGTGTGGGTCGGTATTTGTGTGTGACATTTGCAGTGTGTGTGCGTGTGTGAGGATTGCAGTGTATGTGTAGGGCAATGTGTGCATGGGGAGCAGCGTGTGTGTGTATTATTATTATTTTGTTATTTACAAAGCGCCATCAGATTCCGTAGCGCTGTACAAAGGGTATGGGAGCAGTGTGTGTAATGGGGGGAACAATGTGTGTGTGTGATTATAAAAAAAGCCCCCTACCCTTCTTATCACACACATTGCTCCCCCCCCACACATACACATACACTGTCCCCATACATACATCCATAACAATTACATTTTTAAAAAGCCAATACATATTATAACCCTTCTTATATGTTTTTTTTTTAGTTTAATTTAAACAAATATTCTTTATGTCCCCCCTCCCTTCTTACCTTTACTGGGAGGAGCGGGGGGGCATTTCTTAGTCCTGGTGGTCCAGTGGGAAATCCCTGGTGGTCCCAGTGGTGATGAGGTGAACTCTAACCCGCGCTCCAGGGCTAGAGTTCACTCTCGCGAGATTTGGAGCAGGCTGAGCTCCTGGGTCCTCACTCACTACCTCCCCTGCCGGCTGTCAGCACAGTGCCTGCGGACCTGGGAGGGAGATCTCTGATCTACCCTCCGGTCCCTGTCCACGAAGGCACATTGCAGGGCTGGCACTTGGACAATGACAGCCCTGCATTATCCGGCAGGGGAGAATCTGGGGGGGGGAGGGCGTGGCAATTGCCCCGTTGCCCCCCCCTGGATCCGCCACTGTCCTGGTACCATAACCACCACAGAGGGAAGATAGCTGAGAGAAAAAATAAAGCTGAGAGAAAAGAAAGCCGAAAGCAAGACCCTCAACTGAATATTAGCATCCCTAACAATCTCTGAATCTTGCTTAGATATGCAAAATCTGAATTATACAAAAGAAAATTTTAAGCAGTCTGAGATCCAAATGGTTCCTCTTTCTGTGATGGTACTAGATACCCTGAATCTGTACGGTCTTATACACCTTATACAAATTATAAATACTTTTAGAAAATATACTGAAATATAAGAATAAGCAATGGTAGAATAAAAATAATTCTTGGGCACAGCTGTGATTGAGGCATGTCTGGGACACATCAATCACAGCTGCATCCACTATACTCATTCGGCATCCACTATCCATACACACAAACATGCTCACTATACATACACACTGCATCCACTATATCCATACACACCTTGCATCCACTACGCATGCACTAATTTCATCCACTATACACACACACACACCCTGTGTCCACTATATATCCACATTATTTATCCTTGTGGACGGACTCGGGGATGCGTCCAGTAGGCAGACTCGGAAGGAACACTTGCCTAAGCCTTGAGCTGTCTAAGGACCACAAAAATTCTGATGGCAACCCTGAATACACACACATGCTCACATTCATATACACATACTCAAATTCTCAATACACACATGCATATATAAACACACCCACATACATTCATACACTCACATTCATATATGCACAAATTGACAAATACTCACATTCATATACAAACTTATATTCATACACCTATACACATTTTATTAGTTTTAGGCTTTTATTTCTGGCAGTAGTGAACTTACCAAGGGGGTGGAGTGGAGAGGGCGGCCTCGGAAGATGGAGACTCCTGGGCCACTGTATTCACACTCCGCATCCACTACACTCACTTTATCCAATACATTTGCACACTCTGCATTAACTTTACACACAGACACACATGGCATCCACATTACACACACTGCATCAACTTAAAACACACACTGCATTCACTAGACACACACACACACAAGCACACTCTACATCCACATTACACAAACTGCATCTACTTTAAACACACACTGCATCTACTATACTCGCTCTGCATCCACTTTACATACAAACACATATGGCATCCACATTACACACACTGCATCAACTTAAAACACACACTGCATTCACTAGACACACACACACACAAGCACACTCTACATC